AGGGAAAGCCCTGACGTAACTCCAGATAATAATTAGGGCAGCATAAATGAAAAAAAGGAAATGATGACTTTTTGTTGTTCACTTTTTTCATTTAGGCTTCAAAATCAAAATTCATACTGGGGCTCAGAGTAGTCTGTGATTGGAAAAAAAAGGTCAAGCCCCAGACCAATTAAGATTCCTCCCTTGCAGGACAAGAACATGCACATTAAAATGTAAGTTTTACATGTGCCTGGGACAGCCATACATTCCACTCTATCTCTACAGTTACTTGAGATACGAAACCCTAATGTGGATTCATACCCACCTGGGCAAACAGGAATTCTCAAATGTTACCAATTATCATAAAATTTTGAGAAAAAGGAGGCAAATAAAACACAAAAGACCTGAACAGAGAAGGAAAAATAGTTACAACCAGTACATTGTCCTTAGAATGACTGGAAAGAAAAAGACATATATGGAGCAATAATAAGCTGAGAGGTTAAAAAGAAAACAATTCTAGATTTTAGAAATTAAATAAATAAAATGTTCTCTCCCAAACCCAAAAGAAACACAAAAAGAATGAGAGAAAGAAATGAAAAGATCACCTTTGTTTAAAAAGACGAAATCTACAACCCTGAATCACAAATAAATGTGAAAATTGGAACAGGTGAGGATCAAGAGAGGGTTCCTACTCTGATTGTTAACATTTTTTTTTTAAAGCATCTTGGGTAGAAACATAAAGCCTTCTTCCAAGTTAATTAAGCAATTAGAAAACACCATAAATTCATCATGGGAGTAACAAGATGAGTGGTCTCGTCTTACTTTTTGACACATCATCAGTGTGTATCCTATTTATGGTATAGGTTAGGTTGCTGAAACAAAGAGATCTCAAAACAGAGTGGTTCAGCCCATACAGATGTTTTTTCTCATGCAGAGGCTCTGGTTAGTCAGGTAGACAAGCCGTTCTACTCTACCAGACTCTACAGTGACCAGGGTTCCTTTACTCTTCAATCCACCATCCAAACCATTTCCAAAATCAGAACAAAATTCATGGTTCTTTATTAGTTGTGTTTTTATAAAATTTAAATACACATTTTTTTTCTTACAACTTTTCCCTATATTTGCTATTTAATAATAAAAATAACCTATTTCTGGATTTAAATTTTGTTTTTCTCTTTACCTGTGTTATTGATAATCAACAGGCTGGTAAGGGGCTCGTGGGGAAGCTTTCCAGGAGAGAGGAAATACAGGTCATTCTTAAATTCCCAATCAATCCCATGATGATTTAACACAGCATTAAATATAGTTTCCACAATCAAAGGGAACAGTGCCGTTCCAAATGCCAATAGGCTAAACAAAAGCAAAAAAATTACCATATGAATCTACAGCAATTTTCTTTATTCAGGCAGACATTTCATTAATATTTTTGAGTGCTAAATCTGCTTTACGTCAACAATGATTCTAGGGGCTAAAATTCTGAGTCATATCTTAATTGCTACACAGTACCAAAAAGGATTGCTATGTAAACACCAGATTGTGAGAACAAAATACACACATGTGCGTAAGCCTAATCGAGGGCTAACATACATGTATTCCCATTTTCAGTAAAATCAAGTGTTATATTTATCCATCCTTTGGCAGGAATGTTGAGTCTTCCTTTTTAAGAGAATTTAGTTTTGAATTCTCTTCAGTTTTGAACCCCTTTTGAAATTTATTATCTAACAAAATCACAATACTCTGATACTCACAGGGTCAAAAGTGCTTTTCTTTCTCGTTTTAATTTCAAGAAACGGAGCCGTGCCATTGCAAAGACCTGCATTCTCCAGAGGCCCATGTCATTCACAGTCCTTTGCATTTCAGGAAGAGAAGAGCGAGCTGTCTCCATTCCATTTAGGCTTTCTGAGTCTCTTATCTCTGCTTGTTCAAAATCTACATACACAAACATATATACATATATTTTCTTTTTTCTTTTCCACATTTCTATTCCTATTTTCATTTAGTCTAAAATGATCTGCTTCATCAATTCAAACACACATATGGTCAAATCTTTCATCTTTTAAATTCATCACTGCTGAGAAGCAGAGCATTCAGGATTTATCATTTTTTTTGTTTTAGGTTTTTACCATAGGATGAATACACTTGCCAGACACACAGAGAAAAAGGTAGTTTAGAAATCACTCCTCAGGAGGGATGGCCACACTGCAATTCCCTTTCTTTCATTTTCCTGGGGTTTTAGGCACATGCGCACATGGGCCCAGCATGATTTTCAAGCCACCAGCTAGGACTCAAACTGGTTGGCCACATGGGAGTCCAGCACCTTAACCACCATGTCACCTTCTGGTCCCCATACACATACTTTCAATGCCATCCTGGGGGCATCACAGTTTTTTTCCCTTTTAGTAATACTAAAAATTGTTTTATGTTTGGTTGTACTTTTACAACCAGATCAAGTGATTATCTAGATATAATTTTCCAATAGTTATTAAGTTTGTACATTACCACTGCTGTCTATATTTCACTTCTGTAATTAATTTTCATAGTTACCAATGGTGTAGCATATTAAAACATTTTAAATAAGAAAAGATGTTTTAGAATGTTTGTAGCTCCAATGCAAACAATATAAGAAACATATTAGGATGTCAACAGTCTATAAATTCAGTGAGAAAACATACCGGATTCATAACAAAAGAAGAATTCACAAAAAGGGTGATCTCTTTGTGGCCAGTGATTGAAAGTCAAATAAAGTCCTATCTGTTACAATATTCTGAGGGAGTTCAAGAAATCCCCACAGAAATTGCCACTTGGTGATGTCTAAATATTCACTGCTAAGATATCAGTAATTAGTATGGGGAAAGATCACCAGTTCTGAAACCACCAGACCCGTATGTGAATCCCAGATGTAAGATTTACAGGGGCACTACTTTGATGGTCACTTAACTGCTATTAGATCCGACTTTCTCATTTGTAAAATGTACTGATGACACTGCTGGAAAAGTTACTGTAGGAAGGTAATGTTAAAGGCTTATATCAACATGTAGCCATATATTGATCAATGTCTGGCATAGGAGGAGCCCTAAAATTACAGTTCTTATTACTCTTTTACATACACAGGATTAGATATTGATAATCCTCCCCAATAAGATCATAGTAGAATTTTGTATATTAACCAGCTAAGAGCATTTTTTTATGAGAAATATTGGGTGGTCCTAAAAGTCATTTCACATAGGAAAGATGTATCATGAGTTTTCCAATAACTCAGTATTTGCTCAGACTTCATGCCCCTGATTAAGAGGGCTTCATAGCCTCAAAGTATCGAAGATGTACAGTAAGTACCCCCCAGATAGGAGACAACTTCTAATACAGGAAATAGGCAGTTTCCAGAGAGGAACTTGGTAGACTCCAAGAAAGGATCTTTTTTTTTTTTTGTCCTAGTACATTTATCAGGAAATAATGATAGCTGGTCTCAAACAGCAAAGCCATTTAGAATGAGCCACTTTTCTTAGGGTGAATCAAGCTTGAAAAGTATGCTCAACCGACACACGGTCATTTAGGAACTGATTTTCTGTGAATTATACAAGCGGATTTTACCTTGTTCAATAGTGGATTTTTCTTCCAGTTGTATGAAGACTTCATTCAGATTCGACATAGAAATATCATAACTCATCAAACCCTGGCCAGAACACTTATCAAGATCACTGAAAAGATCTAAGGCAACAGATAGGAATAAATACATTTGAAAAAAAAGCACATCAATATAATTAAATCTTATAATCTCTTAAGAGATGATACAGAATATCATTCAGAAGATTTATGCCTTGGAAATATTACAGAAACCAAAAGCCAAGTTTCATCAGAAGGCTCTCTTGCTCTCTGCAATGACTAGGTTAGAACTCTCCCTTTGTCTTCAAAGTGTTGGCACCCCAATCCTCTATTACCAGCTTATGAACTACCTGCAGAAAATACATGTAATCAGAAAGACCATCATCTTCTCCCCTACACACTACTAGGCCACACATATGGTAGAGACCCATATGCTGCGACTTCCTTCTGTATAGTTGGAAGACTTGCAACTGCTCCTATCAAAGGCTACTCCTTTCATTTATGTTCTGAATTTCATCTCCTCTTAACATCTCGAAGACTTCCCAAAGTGATCTCCACTCTCCCTCTCCTGAATCATCAACTTTTTCTACATTGAATAAGTCATCCCAAACAGACAAAAATGCTATTAAAACCCTTAAACAAAGACAAGCAAAGGGCAGTGGCAATAAAAACAATGTCCTCTCACCTCACCCACATGCGCACATAGCTCTTAAGGTTTGTCTACTTTGCTACTTTCCATCTGTTGCATCCTATACACATTTATCCCCAACAAGTTCAAATGTTATCCTTATCTCTCCATAGCAACTGCTCTTCTCCTTTTTTTAAAGAATTATTTATTTAATTTTATTTATTATTAATATTATTTAATTTGCTATAGGGCATGTGTACTCACCAGAGAGCAAGAGAGGAGAGGTAGAGAGGGAAAGTGAGAGAGCAAGTCACCAGGTCTGGGACTCAAACCATTTTTTTCTGGATCAAGTGGGAGTCTAGCACTTTAACCGCCATGCCACCTGTTGGACCCACAACTGCTCTTTTTAAGGCCATCAACAACTCCACATTTTCAAATTTGGGCAACTATTTTTCTTTTATTTTTTTAAACTGGTTTTCCTCTTTTTTTCTTTTCTGTTTTGTTTTTGAGAGATTTTTGCTATAGGGCATTTGCACTCGCCAGAGAAACAGAGAAAGAAAGTGAGAAATCACTCCTCAGGGGGGTCAACCATGCTGCAATCACTTCTCCTCCAGTCACCTCTCAGGATTTGGGCATGCACACACACGCGCCTGGCATGAGTTTTAAACCACCAGGTCTGGGACTCGAATCATGATTGACTGCATGGGAGTCCAGCAATATAACCATTATGCTATCTGCTGGCCCCATTTTTTTTTTTTTCGTTTTTAACTCAGTGGCATTTGAAGCAGTTGACCAGTCTCACCTTCTAGAAACATTTTCTCCTTGATACATATTTTTCTGACTCTTAATCTGCTTTCTTCTGAGGTTTTAATTCTAGATCATCTTTTTCCATATACACAAACCTAGTTTCTAATCTATCTATATCTTGTAGATTCCCAAATTCACATTTCACTTTTTTCTCTGATTTCTATATATTTCATCACTTGATACCTCTATTTGGAAGTCAAAAATCATTTTAAGGTTAACATTTCCAAAATAAAACATTTATTTTTTTTCTCTTTCTCTATCCAACTAGTCCATCATTTTACAATAAATACTATTACTTTCTACCCAGTGATCCAAGCAAAAAGTTCAGACATCCCCCCTTCACTTTTTTCACTTTTCCTCACAGTCCATAACCAGTTCAACAGCCATCCACTTGTATCACGGTAGACTGATCACCCTCATCTTCCTACCGGTACTATGACATGGCCCCATGACTGGTCTCTAAGAGTTCACTCCTGTTCCTCTTTATCTAGAGTGATCCTCTATGTCCATGGAATGGAAATATAAGTCATATTATATCAATTCCCTGTGTAATGTCTTTCAGTAGTTTCTCAATGCATTTTAAATGAAAATAAAAGTTAATACCACAGCCTCTAGGGTCCAGAAGCATCTCTATTTATAGCAACCTTATCCTTCCCTATTTGCCACTCCACTCCCCACTCACTGCCCTCCGGACATCCCCTTTTCCTTCACACTTAAAATAGTTTTGACCCTTTTCTTCTTGTGGCCGTCCATGACCACTTCTATTATCAGTCATCATTCTATGCATCTGGCCTTGTTTATTATTTTGTGCTACAAAAAATGATTTTATTCATTTTGTGGGTCCCACTTTTCCCTGCCCAGTTGCATGTAGGCTCCCTTAAATAATGATTGAGAGTGACCAGGAAGTACCTCCAGCTTGTTTACCCCTCTGGTGACATAACTGTGAGGACACCTTCTTACCTACCCATCTATTTCCTTCAGTGATGTTATACCTCTATTGCCTACCACAGTAACCTGCTGGGTAACAGCAACTTCCCTGCCTCCCTTCCTTTCCCTCTCTCATGTTCTCATTCCCCGCTGGTATTTTCAGGGATCAACTACCAAATAAATTAATTGCCCTCAAATCCTCATCTCAAGTCTGATTGTCAGGTAACTCAACTTAAGACAAAATCCAAAATCCATTAGGAAATAAAAATTGTAACAGTAAGGTGACATTTGTGCCCAAATTGCATTCTATTATAATCATATTTAGGTTACCTGAAAACTTATTTGTCCTTTCCAAAGGCAAAGTATACACAAGCTTTTCTTTGTTTTCTGTTTTTAATTTAGCATCAGGGATGTGATGATTAATGAAGGATGCTACATTTATCCCCAACAAGTTCAAATGTTATCCTTATCTCTCCATAGCAACTGCTCTTCTCCTTTTTTTAAAGAATTATTTATTTAATTTTATTTATTATTAATATTATTTAATTTGCTATAGGGCATGTGTACTCACCAGAGAGCAAGAGAGGAGAGGTAGAGAGGGAAAGTGAGAGAGCAAGTCACCAGGTCTGGGACTCAAACCATTTTTTTCTGGATCAAGTGGGAGTCTAGCACTTTAACCGCCATGCCACCTGTTGGACCCACAACTGCTCTTTTTAAGGCCATCAACAACTCCACATTTTCAAATTTGGGCAACTATTTTTCTTTTATTTTTTTAAACTGGTTTTCCTCTTTTTTTCTTTTCTGTTTTGTTTTTGAGAGATTTTTGCTATAGGGCATTTGCACTCGCCAGAGAAACAGAGAAAGAAAGTGAGAAATCACTCCTCAGGGGGGTCAACCATGCTGCAATCACTTCTCCTCCAGTCACCTCTCAGGATTTGGGCATGCACACACACGCGCCTGGCATGAGTTTTAAACCACCAGGTCTGGGACTCGAATCATGATTGACTGCATGGGAGTCCAGCAATATAACCATTATGCTATCTGCTGGCCCCATTTTTTTTTTTTTCGTTTTTAACTCAGTGGCATTTGAAGCAGTTGACCAGTCTCACCTTCTAGAAACATTTTCTCCTTGATACATATTTTTCTGACTCTTAATCTGCTTTCTTCTGAGGTTTTAATTCTAGATCATCTTTTTCCATATACACAAACCTAGTTTCTAATCTATCTATATCTTGTAGATTCCCAAATTCACATTTCACTTTTTTCTCTGATTTCTATATATTTCATCACTTGATACCTCTATTTGGAAGTCAAAAATCATTTTAAGGTTAACATTTCCAAAATAAAACATTTATTTTTTTTCTCTTTCTCTATCCAACTAGTCCATCATTTTACAATAAATACTATTACTTTCTACCCAGTGATCCAAGCAAAAAGTTCAGACATCCCCCCTTCACTTTTTTCACTTTTCCTCACAGTCCATAACCAGTTCAACAGCCATCCACTTGTATCACGGTAGACTGATCACCCTCATCTTCCTACCGGTACTATGACATGGCCCCATGACTGGTCTCTAAGAGTTCACTCCTGTTCCTCTTTATCTAGAGTGATCCTCTATGTCCATGGAATGGAAATATAAGTCATATTATATCAATTCCCTGTGTAATGTCTTTCAGTAGTTTCTCAATGCATTTTAAATGAAAATAAAAGTTAATACCACAGCCTCTAGGGTCCAGAAGCATCTCTATTTATAGCAACCTTATCCTTCCCTATTTGCCACTCCACTCCCCACTCACTGCCCTCCGGACATCCCCTTTTCCTTCACACTTAAAATAGTTTTGACCCTTTTCTTCTTGTGGCCGTCCATGACCACTTCTATTATCAGTCATCATTCTATGCATCTGGCCTTGTTTATTATTTTGTGCTACAAAAAATGATTTTATTCATTTTGTGGGTCCCACTTTTCCCTGCCCAGTTGCATGTAGGCTCCCTTAAATAATGATTGAGAGTGACCAGGAAGTACCTCCAGCTTGTTTACCCCTCTGGTGACATAACTGTGAGGACACCTTCTTACCTACCCATCTATTTCCTTCAGTGATGTTATACCTCTATTGCCTACCACAGTAACCTGCTGGGTAACAGCAACTTCCCTGCCTCCCTTCCTTTCCCTCTCTCATGTTCTCATTCCCCGCTGGTATTTTCAGGGATCAACTACCAAATAAATTAATTGCCCTCAAATCCTCATCTCAAGTCTGATTGTCAGGTAACTCAACTTAAGACAAAATCCAAAATCCATTAGGAAATAAAAATTGTAACAGTAAGGTGACATTTGTGCCCAAATTGCATTCTATTATAATCATATTTAGGTTACCTGAAAACTTATTTGTCCTTTCCAAAGGCAAAGTATACACAAGCTTTTCTTTGTTTTCTGTTTTTAATTTAGCATCAGGGATGTGATGATTAATGAAGGATGCTATTTGTTCTGGATCACATATTTCGTTCCTATACAAACTAATATTTAAAAGAAAAGACAAGTCATTGACATTTCACCACTGCTGCAACAAAAGAAATCTCTTACCAAGCACCTAGACTTTGACACTATTTTACTTGGCTTCATGGAACAACAACAACAACAAAAAAAAACTGAGTAAATAAAAATAAAAATAATCCATAGGCTTGAAAAATCTTACGATAAATATATAAATTCAGAACAACAATAAATATACAAATATGTATATAATTGAAACTACATGTCAAGCATGAAGATAAACAGAGGGAGGTGAAATATTAGACAGAAGACACTTCTCCAAGAAAATGATAACAATAATAATTTTTTTTTTTTTTTTTACATCATGACCAGGTAGGCTTTACTCAGGAGATGCAAGGGTGTTTCACAGGAAAATAACTATTATACCAGATAATGCAGCTATCAGAAATTAGTGACTAACAGAAAAATTCGGTGTGCATTCATGTTTTGTTCGGCTACAGGTTGGTTTGTTTGCCTTTTTAACTCTTTTAGCCTGGACATACACTTCTTGCTAGACACAGTTCTCCTCACTCTCTGCCCTGCTGGTACTGGCTTCTGAAATGATTTGCCTTTGTGTCCTATGAAAGAATAAAAATGTAAAGCAGCATTGTGTGGCTCAGCTGAGGAGAGTGCAGAGGGTGAGCAGAGGGAGCAGCTCAGGCTGCACAGAACAGTCAGTTGGAAGAGTGGCACCTGAGGTGTCCTGCTGCAGTAAGCTGCAGTCTATTGTGCTAACGTGTTGCCTAAAACTGATAGTACTCAAGATATGAGGAGGCAGGAAAATAGGGAGGACATGTGGGAGACACTGATCAATCCAGTATGGCAGAGATGATTAAGAGGAGCTCTCTTTCATAATTATCTACCTTTTTGATATACCAGTATTAAAAATATACAGATCCATTTACCTCAGGTGATATCCAAGACCCCATTTCCTCTTCAAAAAGACAGAAGATCCTGCACACTTCAATCTCCCATTAGACATGACCACTTTTCTATCTGAGTAAAAAGAAGCAAGCGAAAAAGGATATTAAAAGTCATTTCTTTTCTATGTAAAAAAATATAGCTGAGGAGCCAAAATTCAAATTCCAAATTAGTGTTCTGTAGGGTGTAACTACATTTATTGTGCATTCAAAACTTTTAAACATACATTAAAATTGATGAATTAGGAGACCAGTAGGTGGTATGGTAGTTAAGGCACTGGACACTCCCGCATGGCCGACAACAGTTCAAGTCCCAGACCTGGTGGCTTTCTCTCTCTCTCTCAACCTCTGTATGTGGGTGTGCATGTGTGTGTGTGCACACACGCCTCTCTGATCAAATTAAAAGAAATGACTGAATAAATAAAATTAAACAAATAATTCTTTTTAAAAATTGATGAATTATGGGACCAGCAGTTAGCATAATGGCTATGTCGCTGGACTCCCATGTAGTCGACTGCGGTTCGAGTCCCGGACCCAGCAGCTTAAACTCATGCCAGGTGTGTGTGCGTGCACGCCCAAGATCCTGAGAGGAGAATGGAGGAGAAGGGATTGCAGCATGGCCATCCCCCCTGGGGGGTGATTTCTCGCTTTCTATCTCTCTGTCTCTCTCTGTCTGTCTGGCAAGCGCAAGCGCCCTATAGCGAAAACCTCTCAAAAAAAAATTGATGAATTAAAATGAACTCATAAATGCCAATCTATTTCAGGATCCTTCAACAACTTCCAGAAAAATAAATAAATAAATAAATAAGTTACATGGATATAGTCTCTACACTGTATACTAAAGAACGAGAGCTTATTTTTCAATCACATACTGTACATAGCAAAGATATGAATGTTTATGGGACCAGCTGGTGGAGTGGTAGTTAGGGCTGGACCCCCACATGGTCAACCACAGTTCAAGTCTCTGATCTGGCAGCTTTTCTCTCTCTCTCTCTCTCTCTCTCTCCCATGCTCTCTCTTACTGTTCAACACATAGGTCCAATAGCAAATTAGAAAATAATAATAACAAATTAAATTAAATTAATAATAATTTCTTTAAAAAAGATTTGGATATTTAAGTTAATTGATGCTTGATTTGAAAATAATAATTGCAATTTTTATTTGCAGTCACAATCTAGCAAATGCATAATCAGTAAGGAATAGACAGTGGAACTAGACTCCTGTGAACCCCTAGATCACCAGGAAAGTTTGGCACACAGAGGTAATGAGCGCTGGAAATAAACTTCCCAAACCCTTCATTGTAATAATGACATAAAATAAATACTTACCAGCCAGGATGTCAGCCTCCTCCATAAACTGGGTGCTGAGGAGGATCACGCGATCTGCTCTTCGTTCCCTCAGGAAGCTCCAGACTTGGTGCCTTGAAAAAGGATCCAGTCCAGCAGTTGGGTCATCTAAGAGCAAAACCTACAAAGGATAAAGACATTTAAAATCTCTCTGTCTTCCATATTAACTATTTCCACTTGGTAGCATGAGAAACAGTAAAAAAAAAAATACATATGTAACTTTTCAACCATTTGTTTCCAATATGACTCGAATGCTTAATTAAGCATAGAAGGTTCTCTCTTGATATCTTACATTGAACATTCTAGTACTTTTAGTGGTAAAGGGTCTTGACATTTTTTAAAAAAATATTTCTTCCATAGGGCATATGCACTCACCAGAGAGAGAGACAGTGAGAGGGGCAGTGAGAAACCATCACCCCCAAGGGGGAATGGCCATGTAGAAATCCCTTCTCCTCCATTCTCCTCCTGGGATTTTGGGCACACAGTCATATGTGCCCAGTATGAGTTTCAAGCCACCGAATCTGAGACTTGAACCAGAGTTGAGCATGTGGGAGTCTAGTGTTTTAACCATTATGCCACTGCTGTCCCTGGGGACTTGACTTTTTACTAACATTCAATCCTCTTTCCTCCCCGTGTATAATCTTACTCACTTGAGGATCTCCTAAAATGGCAATCCCAAAGGTCAGTTTTCTTTTCTGTCCTTCACTTAAGAATTTGGCCAGTTTATCTTGAATGTTTTGCATGTCTAGTTCCAATAAAATTTGTTGTACCTAGGTAAGAAAATATACAAAACAAAAAACTATATATAAAAAATTCAAAACAGTTCCTATTCTGCAATTTTCATTGCCCATTAAAGCAGTGGATGTTTTTTGTTTTTATTTTTGTTTTTATTATTTTTTTAGAGGTTTTCGCTATAGGGAGCGTGCGCTCGCCAGACAGACAGAGAGAGACAGAGAGACAGAAAGTGAGAAATCATCCCCCAGGGGGGATGGCCACGCCGCAATCCCTTCTCCTCCATTTTCCTCTTGGGATCTTGGGCACGCACGCACACGCGCCTGGCGTGAGTTTTAAGCCACCAGGTCCGGGACACGAACCACAGTTGACTACGTGGGAGTCCAGCGACATAGCCATTACGCTAACTGCTGGTTCCCAAAGCAGTGGATGTTTTAAAAGAGAACCTCCTTGCATAAATTTAATTCACAAGCAGATACATCACTGAAGGGAACTCTGTGGTCACGACTGAACTTGGTAAACCTTATTGGCAGTTCAGTTCATCCACACATGCTCATCTACCTCTTGTTCCACCTGCTGCTGGTGAATCCCTTTTATTTTCGCGAACAGGCTGAGATTTTCCTTCACAGTGAGAGTGTCAAACTGAACATTGAATTGAGGGCAGATACCAGTTATCTTTCTGATTTCCTCCAAGTCTTGTATTTCAGAGGGATTTTTATTATAGATGGTAACAGATCCTAAGAATATAAATTAAAAATAATTAATGATGGCAAGACAATTTGTCTTATAGGGAGCGTGCGCTCGCCAGACAGACAGAGAGAGACAGAGAGACAGAAAGTGAGAAATCATCCCCCAGGGGGGATGGCCACGCCGCAATCCCTTCTCCTCCATTTTCCTCTTGGGATCTTGGGCACGCACGCACACGCGCCTGGCGTGAGTTTTAAGCCACCAGGTCCGGGACACGAACCACAGTTGACTACGTGGGAGTCCAGCGACATAGCCATTACGCTAACTGCTGGTTCCCAAAGCAGTGGATGTTTTAAAAGAGAACCTCCTTGCATAAATTTAATTCACAAGCAGATACATCACTGAAGGGAACTCTGTGGTCACGACTGAACTTGGTAAACCTTATTGGCAGTTCAGTTCATCCACACATGCTCATCTACCTCTTGTTCCACCTGCTGCTGGTGAATCCCTTTTATTTTCGCGAACAGGCTGAGATTTTCCTTCACAGTGAGAGTGTCAAACTGAACATTGAATTGAGGGCAGATACCAGTTATCTTTCTGATTTCCTCCAAGTCTTGTATTTCAGAGGGATTTTTATTATAGATGGTAACAGATCCTAAGAATATAAATTAAAAATAATTAATGATGGCAAGACAATTTGTCTTATTAATGTTTGGAGATCTTACCTATTAAAAAACACAAAAAATTGGCATGTATTCACAAACACCTAACATGGTGACTTCATAAATTGTTAACAACTACTAATTATTAACACAAATGCATACTTACAGTAGTGTGTATTTCCCCAGACATATCACATGATGAAATAAAGACAATGATTTTCATAAAAATTAGGAAAATACAAAATATATTTGCAATCATAGAGTTCTGGAAAATGACTTTAAATGAACACTATTTCTCTTCAGTCATTAAAATTGTAATTTAAAATGAAAGAGGTATACATATAATCCCATTTCATTACCGGATGTCTTGATTTAAGAAATTTCTTTTTTTTCTCACCTTCTGTTGGAACAGACAAACCATTAAGAATGTTTAGCAGTGAAGATTTGCCAGATCCACTGTGCCCCAGAATTGCAGTGATTTGACCTTCATATATGTCAAAGAGCAAGCCTATTTTTACAATAAAATATAAACATTATAAATAATAGGGCATAAGACTGAGTTGTTCCTAAACAGAAAACACAACAATTTGGTACCTTTCTCTACATAGCAAGAATTTTAATATTTTAAAATACATAATGTTCAATATTTTCAATATTTTCCCAGTTGCCAAAATATTTATTTAGAGAACTATAGTAATAAAAATGATATTACTGTTATATTTATCCAGAGAAATAAATATAAGAATTAAAATAATACAATACAGGATACAGTGACCAATGAAACAGAAGTGTAAAATGGGCCAAAGTAAACACAAAAGTAAAGATTAATAAAATGATCTTTCAGAGTCATCAAAAAATATAAAATATTTAGTAAACAATACTGGGACAACTAAATAAGTACATTAACAAATATTACATTTATCTTTGTGTGTGAGTGTGTGTGTAATCTGCCAGAGGGTGCATGTGCTCACCAAAAAGAGAGAGAAAAAAACAGAGAGTTGGGGAGGGGAAAGCATTGTGGTCACATTGCAATCCCTTCTTCATTTCTCTATCTCGTCAGGATTTGTGGCACACACACCACATACACACTTGACTTGATTGTCAAGCTGCTTGGGTCCAGGATTCCAACAGAGTGATTGGCATGTGAAATCTGGTCCCTCACCCCCAGGCTATTGGCTGGCCTGATGTTTGCTGTTTTTTTAATGGAAAGTACACACTGTTTTAAAGGGTAACATGAAAGTGGCACTGGCTATCCTGGAACTGACTTTAAATGGAAATATAAAGTATAAGTCTCAGTTTCCTCATTCACAAAGTGAGGGAACTACTAATACGTTTTCCACAGAATTAAATTTAAAAAGCCCAGGTAGGGTCAGCAGGTGGCACAGAAGTTAAGGCAACTGGATCCCCACATGGACAACTGCACAGTTCAAGTCCTGGCCCTGGTGGCTTGAGAATCACACCACGCACATGAGCAAATGTGCCCAAAATCGTGAATGAAGAATGGAAGAGAAAGTATTGTGGAGTGGCCATCCCCCCCATAGGTGATTTTTCTTTCCCTGTCTTTCTGTCTGTCTGTCTCTCTCTGACAAGCTTATGTACCCTATAGCAAACTAAAAGAAAAAAGAATGAAAAGCCCAAGTAATCACTTAGCAGATTAAGTCCTCAATGAACTTTTAAGTATTTTTTGGAACTGTTGTTGATGTCATTGCTGTTAATTACAGATTGCCTGTGAGAGCATCAATTTTTATAAAATTAGAAATGATTTAAAATATGAATCAAGTCATGAAAATATGACTCCTCTGAATAATTCTGCTTCTAGAAATGTATACACAGTAAATAACCAATGAACTTAATGAAGACTGAGCAAAAATGTTCATCCTAGTGTTTCTCATGATAATGAAAAATTATAAACAAACTGAAGTTCATACGCTGGTGTGTTAGTTGTCAATCATGGTATGCATACAATGGAATGTTACTTAACCACTCAGAGGTAGGCTGTTGATGAAGACTTTCTTTTTCTTTTTCTTTTTTTTTTTTTCACTAAACTACAGATTAGTTTATTTTTAACACCCATCATGCCATGAATTCATAAGGAATAGGTTCCAGTAGCTCAGGCTCCTTTCCACTGGTTCTCAAAGTGTATTTCTCTGGGTGGAGCAGGCTGGCACTTTAGTTGAACCCAGGTACCTTTCTCTTTGGCTTCCTTCTTTTTCCTGGTCATTTTCCTTCACACATTTTAGTTATCTATCTCTGCTCTTAGAATGCTTAATATGCTCAATACACACATTAATTCTCTTAGCAAGAATCTTGCCCTTAACTTGTTTGTTCACAACAATGCCAATAGCATGCTGGGTAACATTGTAGACTCTTCCAGTTTTGCCATGGTAACATTTGTGGGGCATTCCTTTTTGAACAGTACCATTCCCTTGATGTCTACACTATCACCTTTCTTGTAGATTCCCATATATGTTGCCAAAGGAACCACTTCATGTTTTCTAAAAGACCTAGAGAGCATATATTGAGTGCCTCTACTCTTTCCTTTTGTGTTTGTCATTTTGGTTAATTACTGGAAGATGGTGGATCCAGCCAAAAGTTTGATGAAGACTCATGAGTGGGTTCTGGAGCTGGCAGAGGGACTGCTTAGCTGCATGTGGAAGAAAAGGCTGAGAGGCGTTACCTCCCACCCTTACTTCCTAAAGAACAACTCCACTTGGCTCCAATTCATGTTTTTATGCCTGTGCTTTCAATTTTTTAAGATGCTACTACTTCTAAACATAGGGAAAATAACTAAAGTTGAAAGTGTTTAACATAAAGAGAGTTGATGAATGCAAAGGCAGTTCATAATGCACTCCAGACATTTAGTTTATAAATTTACAGGTATTTCAATAGTTAATGGGGAAAAAAAATCTAGATGATATTTGTTGAAAAAAACCTAGGGGGCAAAGGTTGCTCTGCAACACAGTCGGAGGAGCTGTGGTCCTGACACTCTACAAGATGGGTTTCCGGGAAGGTGCCAGTTCTTTCAGAACTCATCAAATTGAGGCTGCTCCAACCAGCTCTGCAGGTGATGGGCTTAAGGCAAATCTTGTCTTTAAAGAGATTGAAAAGAAGCTTGAAGAGGAAGGGGAGCAGTTTGTGAAGAAAATTGGAGGTATTTTTGCCTTCAAAGTGAAGGATGGCCCCGGGGTAAGGAAGCCACCTGGGTGGTGGATGTGAAGAACGGCAAAGGATCCATGCTTCCTAACTCCGATCAGAAAGCCGATTGCACAATCATGATGGCTGACTTGGACCTACTGGCTTTGATGACCGGTAAAATGAACCCTCAGTCGGCCTTCTTTCAAGGCAAATTGAAAATTGCTGGCAACATGGGTCTAGCTATGAAGTTACAAAATCTTCAGCTTCAGCCAGGCAAAGCCAAGCTCTGAAGAAATCCCTTTGGCTACCTTTGAAAACCAAGATGAGACATATAGATATATATCCTTACGTTTCATTATCAGAACTTAGGCTGAAACCGCACACTGGCAAATAGCATGAGATAAATTTGTTTCTAAATGAGCGTGACCAATCCCGTTTTTCCTAAGCTCTTGGTGAACAGAGCCTGATGGTATACTACTGCTTTGCTGAATTGCATATAACTGCATTACAAAGTTAATATGGTAATTATGGTTTGGGGTAAAATTGAGTTTCAGAATAAAATTAGGAACAGTAAAATCCGAAAACTATGTAAACAAAGGCTCTCATTTTGCTTATAAAGTATATTTAAGATTATTCTGCTGAGGATTCAATTTGGGAGTTTCCCTTGGAAGAATTAGAAAAGAAATAGAATACTAGTGGAGGGCCAGTAGTATTGCACCTAACCACCTTGATCGATTTCTCATTACTATTTCTTAAACTCTGTACTGGGGTGTTTTTTTTTTATAAAAGAAACTAAAACTTTTATATTTCATGCCTCAGAAATGG